AAGTCTTGACTTGGCAACTTTTTAGGATGTTACTGTGGGCAAATACCCATCAAATCTACATTTCACAGACAAAGACAATATTCACTAGACCCAGCCAGGCCTCTAGACTTGCCCCTTGGGTCCATGGTATCCTTTATCTTTATCCATCAGGGAATGGTTATCTTAATCAGTAATTATTAGAAACCTTTGCGATCTTAAAGTTTACTTCAACTACCACTGTCTGTAAAGCCCTAAACTTCCTCAAGTTTACTCATTTCCTCATTCACTGAAATTGCTCTTAAGAAGGTAACAGTAAACATTAATTTCCAACCTAACGACTAATTTTTAGTCTTAATCTTATGACTTCTTTATAGCATGTAAACTGGTTAACTGTCCCCTTCTTGCAACTCTCCCCTATTGGTTTCTTTAATTTTAAAAAAAAATTAAAAAAAATTTTAGTGTGTGTTTATTTTTGAGAGAGAGAGAGAGAGAGAGAGAGAGAGAGAGAGAGAGAGAGAGACCGACCATGAGCAGAGGAGGGGCAGAGAGAGAGAGGGAGACACAGAATCTGAAGCAGGCTCCAGGCTCTGAACTGTCAGCACAGAGCTCAACGTGGGGCCTGAACCCACAAACCATGAGATCATGACCTGAACTGAATTCAGACACTTAACCGACGGAGCTACCCAGGCACCCCTGATTTTTTAAATTTTGAAATGAAACATATATACAGAAAAGAGCAGAAAGCTTATGCATAAATTTTCATAAACATTATTGAAGCAAAAACTTGTATCAAGAAACAGAACATTTCTAATGCCCCAGAAGCTCCTCATGTGCCTCTCCCCAGTCACAGCTTCTATTCACTTTTATTGTAGACGTAAACAACTATTCTGATTTTTGTATTAATCTTTTCTTATATATGCATCTCTGAACAAAATATTTTAGTTTTTCCATTTTTAAAGCTTTATAAAGCAAATTATATATACATTTTTTGCACAGTACTGTTTGTGAGATTCCTCTACGTTGTGCATATCTGTGGTTTGTTCACTATTATTGTATATATCCCATGGTGTGGATACCTCCCTACTTTATTATGCATTCAGTTAATGTATTTTGGGGTTGTTTCCAGCACTTTGTCTTTATAACCAGTGCAGCTATAGAGATTCTTATACATGTTTCTTCTACATTTTTACATCTTCATGCAATTCTCTAGGGTCTAGGGAAATTGTTGGATTATAAAGTATGCATATTGTCAATTTCAATAAAAATGCTATATTCTTTCAAAGTAGTTCTGTATAATACTACTGGTACTAGATGAGAAACTGGTCTGTACCACAACAAAACATAGAATTGTCAACCATTTCAATTTTTGCCAAGATGGTGGGAGTATAGAGGTATCTAATTATGGTTTCAATTTCCATTTCCCTGAGAGCTAGTGGAGTAGAGCACCTTTTCCTACCCATATTAGCAATTTGTATTTTCTTGTCTCTTAAGTGTCTATTTAAAATTTTTGCCTGTGCTCCTATTCAGTTTTTATCTTTTTCTTAGGATTTGTAGGATTTCTTTTTATATCTGGTTTATTAGTCCTTTATCAGTTATATGTGTTAGAAATATATTTTTACGTTTTTGCCCCCCTCCCCAACTCTTGTAATGAAGACAAGTTCCTGATTTAAATGTAATAGAACTTATTAATAATTTTTTTATGGTTAGTTCTCTTTAAGAAATTGTTTCCTAGAGGCACCAGGGTGACTCTGTGGGTTGAGCCTCTGACTCTTGATTGGCTGAGGTCATGATCTCATTGTTTGTGGGTTTGAGTCCTCTGTCAGGCTCTGCACTGACAGTGTGGAGTCTTCTTGGGATTCTCCCTCTCTCCCTGTTTCTACCCCACCCTGCCCTTCCAAAATAAATTCATAAACTTTAAAACGAGAAAAAGGAAACTATTTCCTAACTTGGCATTAAGAAGATAGTTAACAGAGAAAATAGAGATAAAAAGCAGGTATCTAATCTCCTTTATTTATGAGAGGGGGAGAGGGGCAGAGAGATAGAGAGTAGGACAGAGGATCCAAAGTGGGCACTGTGCTGATTGCAGCAAGCCCAGTGTGAGGCTCAAACTCATGAACCATTAGACATGACCTGAGCTGAAGTCAGACACTTAACCAACTGAGCCACCCAGGCGCCCCTAATCTCCCATATTGAATTGAAAGCCTGTGACTTCATGTTTTTAAATTTTAAACTTTGGTTTCTCTTTTTCTGATTCTTTTTTTTTTTTTAATTTTTTTTTTCAACGTTTATTTATTTTTGGGACAGAGAGAGACAGAGCTTGAACGGGGGAGGGGCAGAGAGAGAGGGAGACACAGAATCGGAAACAGGCTCCAGGCTCTGAGCCATCAGCCCAGAGCCTGATGCGGGGCTCGAACTCACGGACCGCGAGATCGTGACCTGGCTGAAATCGGAAGCTTAACCGACTGCGCCACCCAGGCGCCCCATGATTCTTTTTTTAAAAGCTTATTTCTTTATTTTGAGAGAGAGAATGAGTGGGGGAAGAGCAGAGAGAGAATTGCAAACAGGCTCCATGCTGTCAGCACAGGGCCAGACGTGGGGCTCGAACTCAAACTGTGAGATCATGACTTTGAGACAACACCAGGCACTGGACGCTTAACAGACTGAGCCACCCAGGTGCCCTCTTTTTTCTGATTCTTAAATGCTAGTTTTATACAAGACTCCATCTGAATTCTTTCTTGTTTTGCACATTCTCCCTGATTAATAATCTTCAACATATTAGAGAATAAGAATGTAGCAATGGTCCAAGTATTTTGAAATTACTAACACTTAAGGTGCCAACATTTGGGAATTATTTTAAGTATACAACTTTGTGGTATATTTTGATATTTGATAAGGTAAATTCTCCCTCCCTGAGCTTCATCAAAATGTTGTTGATTATTTTTCTTTCAGTTTCCCCCTATACATTTTAGATTATTTGTTCTAGTTAACACTGAAATAATGTCAGGTGACGGGTATTGATGGGTATTAAGGAGGGCACTTGTGATGAGCACTTGGTGTCGTATGTAAGTTATGAACCGCTGATTTCTATTACTGAAACCAATATTGTACTGTATGTTAACTAAAACAAAAGGAAGAAATTTGTGATTGTATTGAATGCACAGGTTAATGTATGTCTGTTTTGGGGTTCATATCTCTTCATTGATTTTGATATATTTGTTCAAGGCAGGGATACCCAAGGCAATATATCACACTTGTGAGTTCCACTTTTTATACAAGTTGGGAAGGGCTGAAACCTGCTGACTTATAAGAATAAAATAATATCTTGTTTATATTTGTATTCTTGATACCTAGCACAGTACCACTCAATAAAATATTTGTTATCTCAGTAAACATTTGTTAGGCATCTGCTGTATGCCAGGCACTGTGTCAGGTGCTAACAATACAAATTGACTAACATATTGGCCTTCCCTAGGAAGAAAACTACTTATAGGTAAATAATTACAATTAAGAGTTATTGATTAAGCACTAGAGGGTCCTTAAGGGAGAGAGTAGTCAACTGTATTTAGAGTGAGAGGGTATAGAAAATTTTATAGGTGGCATAATCCTTACACTAGACTTGAAAGATGAGTAGGTATTTATCAGATAGTCAGGAGAGACAAGGTAAAGACATTTCCTACGGTTGGAAGAATAAGAACAATATTAAGTAAAAACAGAGACTTGAGAACATCTGGCTATCAAGGGATGAACGGGCTCATACTGGCTCATAGTTTGTGAAGCAGAGTGTATTTAGAAGCCTGGCCGGAGAAATAGGCAGAGGCAAGATACTGTTTGGTCTTATAGAGTACTAAAAGCTTTATCTTACAGGCAACAGCGAATAACCAGTGAGTTTAAAGCAGGGGAATAATTAGTCAGATTTGCTTTTTTGAAAGAAAAAAAAGCCATCAGCATTCAAGATTGATAAGAGGTGGGACAAGAATGCAGCTAGGAAAGAAAAAAAAAAGCAGTAAGGAGAATGTTCTAAGAGTCATTCTGACAGGATCAAGACTGACAGGATCAGAGTCCAACTAAGAGAATAGCACTAGGGATACTGAAGAAGGAATGGATTTAAGAGATGTAAAGGACCTGATGATAACTTAGATGGGCTTTGAGATGACTGGATAGATGGTGCACTTACTAAGATAGATGATAGTAGATCCTTGGGAGACAAAGAAAAGGACTAATTCCACGGGCATGTTGAGTCTGATGTGCCTGTGAAAAGGATATCGCAGTAATATGTCTGATAGGTGGATGGATACATAGGCCTACAGTCCAAGAGAGCAATCTGGCATCAAATTTTAGATCTCAAAGCCCATAATATGTATGTATCAGCTGAAATCATAAGGTCAAAGATGGAATCTGGGGATATCCAACCTTGAGTGGGTGAATAGAAGAGGAACCAGCAAAGAAAACTAATAGGAGCAAAACAAAAGAGGAGGAGGAGTACCAGGAGAAAGGGGTCGTAGAGAAGAGAGTGGTCAAGTATCAAGTGCCACAGATAGAAATAACAGACCTGAAAAAATTTCATGGGATTTGGCATTAATGGGGACCTTGGTGGAATCTATTTTATTAGATAGTGATTTTTTCACATACTTAACTGTGAAGGGAAGGGAACTGGCAAGATAACACCATTAGTTGGAGGTAGGGAGAAAATAGAACAATTGCTTTTTTTATTTTTTTTAATGAGACGAGTATAATTATAAACTATGGAGAATAGACACAGAGAGATTAAGACAATAAATTAAAGGTAATTATAAAATATACAACCAAATAATTAGTATTATAAGTGTTTGTGATAGATTTGTGGTATACTCAAATAGTATAAATGCAAAAATACAGTGCTAAGCCCCAAGATGTACATATCATAAACATTCTAAAACGACTTGCTGGATTGAATTGAATGGAGTTCTATTAATATGTAAATCATTATCCTCTGTACTCTGGAATAATTCAGAGTTTAATTTGTGCATTTGCTTCTGATGAAGGTCATCGGACACTGTTTATTGGAGTTCATGTGCCCCTGGGAGGAAGAAAAAGCCATCGACGTCACAGGCATCGTGGTCATAAACACAGAAAGAGAGACAGAGAGAGAGATTCGGGATTAGAGGATGGAAGGGAGTCACCTTCCTTTGGTAAGACTCTTTCTCCTTGTTTTTTTATTAAATTTACGATGGTAATAATATACTTGCTAAATCCATAATTAGCAATAATGCCTCATACTCATAAAATTGTTTATACTTTTACAAAAGATGTTGGTTGGGCAGATGGGGGAGAAGTGAGAGATAAAAAAAACTTGATTGAACACAACTTGTGCTTTGTGAAGTTGAGAATTGGCTTAGCCTTGTGATTGAGGAAATACACATAAGTAGTAAAACTTAGTTGTATAAACCTTTTATTGTATATATATATTATATATACATTTATATATAATGTATAATGTATATAATATATAATTATATATATATATTTAAATAGCCTTGTGATTGAGGAAATACACATAAGTAGTAAAACTTAGTTGTATAAACACTTTATTGTGTATACACACACACACACACACACACACACACACACACACACACACACACACACACATATTCAAATAATAGTCATTGCTGGAAGTAGTTAAAAATCCAGAGGGGAATGCCTTTATTAAGTTCCCACATACACCATTGCTGATGCTGCCCAAATTTCCCTCTTAAGACATGGACATTCTACTATTTTGAATGTTCTTCCTTTCGAAGTAGATACAGAATATCAAACTATAGTGATACGGTAACTATTAACAATTTCTGAGTGCCATGAATGCCTGTGTTCATGACATAACCAAGAACCTGGCTTTCCCATCTCTTATGACCCTCTCCTTCACTGCACCTAGTTCCCCTACTCAACCATAATTACTTTGCTCTGAGATCGTCAATGCTTTCAGAACATGTGTCTCTCCTTCTTGTCTACCTGTGCAACTCCTTGACCGCTCTACTTTTTTCTATCCATGCTGCCATCTCTCTTGCATTGATAGGCTATGATTTCATAGCCTATAATTTTACTAATACTTTTGCTAATATTCTGAATATCATAGGTTTATTGTTTTAATTTTATTCATACGATTACTCCCACTTAACCATATTTATGTTGGGGGTCCCTCCATGTTCTTGCTTTCTCCCTGCCTCCACAATGGGCCCACTGTGCTGACCATAATCATTCAGCAGGGCAGATTGTAACTATTTAAATTCATGACACAATCAACCTTCAACAGTGCCTCCCAGTTCTATTGCATTTCTTTGATTTTCAAATTGACTATTTTTCAAACTTTTTCATCATTCTTCAACATCCGTTTTTTCACTATCACTTAGTGGATGCTTTCTACTTTGGAGGGAAAATGTGTCATCAGAACCAACTCATTCCAATTCTCTCCTATGTGCCTGTATCTGAAACTTTCTTTTGATGTAACAAGGGAGTTTTCTTTTCAGTTATGTTTTATTTCCTGTTTCCTCCTACCTGGAAATGTACACAATTTATAATCTGGTTGACCTCTTCCTTGCAACTGGATTATTCTCAGCATCTTTTAAACATGAGAGAGACTCCCATTTTAGATAATCCCTGACCCCCGCTCAAACCCACAATACCACTCTAGTCATTATCTTGTATTCAGATATGAAGTTAGTGGCATATAACGTTTGGGGTAACAATTTTGCTCTTAATATTCTATAAATATTGCTTTATTCAATATGTTTTCAGTAAGTGTTGCAGAGAAGTCTATGGTCTCTATGGGTGTTTTTTTTTCTTTCATTTTTTAACATTGTATCTTTTAAGCCTGAATGCTTATAGACATTTTTCTGTGTCCCTTTAATTAAGAAATTTGCTAAGACAGGCCTAATGGTGGGTGTATTAAAAAGCCTTTCCAATGTGCACATACTGATATTTTTCCACTTAGAGCACATTTTCCTATTTTATCTGATTCTGTTCCACTTCCTTTGTTATCTTCTTTGTGAATATTAATTATCTGCCTGTTGGATTAGTTATATCTGCTCTTTGTCATTTTCCTCTGTAGTTTAAAGTTAGTCTCTCATATTATCCATTTGATTATCTGCAATATCAGTTTTGCATTTTACTATTTCTGTTATTGGTTTATTTTGTGGTTGCATTTTTAGTTTTCTTAAAATTTTTTCTTATCATGTACTATTTTCTTTACATTTCCTCTTGTCCTTTCCTAACTAGTTTTTGTTGTTCTGCTTGATAGAGTCTCTGTTTATAATTTATAGTCTATTGATAATTCCCAGCTATTGCTGGGCATTTTCTTTTGATCCTGAAGTGGATAATTTTCAGAGGTATGATCTTCCTTTGGGCCATTCAGATTATTTTGACTATATATTAATTTGTAGTATTTGTATAGTTTCCCAGTTGTTTTTCTTAGAGAGGCACTGGCATCAGTATGCTCCTTGTTTCAATCAGTGTGTATAGTTAGAGCATTAACCTTCCCCCAGTAGCATGTATTTCTGCCAGAGTTAGAATGACTGTTGTCTGCAGTGTGTAAGGGAACGTATTCTGGGAATCTTCACCTGCATGATATAAGGATCTCTGAGTCAGTGGGCTCAGAGGTATATAAGGGTCCCCGTCATTTTCAGGTGTTTTTTTGTTTTGTTTTGTTTTGTTTTGTTTTCTGAGGTGGAGTCTGGGAATGTAACAAAGTGAAAATTAGGTAGATTTTTCTTATTCAATCCTCCACCTGCTTATATACAGATTCTCTCTTAGATTCTGAGAATGGATTATATATGTTGGGCTAAACTTTAATGGTTACTTCGAGCTTTCATCTTCTAGTATTTGAGACAATATATTCACATCACCTGAGAAATGCTTACTAAATAAACATAAATAAACTTGTTCCCCCTGCTTCTGACATCATTTTTTTTTCTTAGGGCTTAATGCAGTATGTCAGTTTTTCACAACAGTTGTTCTCAACATTGACTACACTTAGGAGTTTTCAGAACATATTGATGGTCAAGCCCCATACCCATCAGGATCTCTGGGGGTGGGGCCTAAATGTAGGTATTTGGTTGAAGTACCCCCAGATAATTCTAATGTGCAGCCAAGCTTCAGATCCACTGTTCTAGAAATTTTGCTATTTCAAGTGTGGCCCATGAACTAGTGATATTAGCATCACATGGGAGCTTGTTAGAAATGCAGAATCTCAGGCCCTACCCCAGACCTTTCGAATCAGAATCTGTACATTAATAATATACTTAGATAACTGATATACACACTACAAGTTGACAAATAAAGCTCTAGAGTGTTCCTTGTCAAACCCTGTTATACAGTAGAATCATCTGAGGAGCTTTAAAAAATATTGATGCTGGGCCCCACCCTCAAAGACTTCAATTAATATTGGATATTTCCTTAGGCACTGTTATTCTTTAAAAAATATCCCAGGTGATTTAATATCCAGCTAGGATCAAGAACCATTGATCTGAAGAAGCTTCTGCCTCTTTATTTGGTAAAACTGGAAATTAGTCAGGTGGCCCAGATTCTCCCTCTGATGTGTCAGCCACTATTTTTGGATGCCACCTACTTCCTTCCTCCCCCAACCATCTGAGTATCTCTGTTGACATTTAGACCTAAGATCTGTTTTATAAGGGACAAATGTTTGGCACCCTGGTGGTCTCTAAGCAGTAGAACTTCCTAGATTCCACTTTTTTTTTTCAGCTTCTTCAGGACCAATCATCTGTCTTTATTCCTAACCCACAGTCAGTTCAGGTGCCTTGATAATCAAGTACCCAGTCATATCCATGTTATAAACACCATCCCACTTGATTTGGGCTTTGATATTCTGCTTTGATATATCTGTGAGCATATATGAGATTACTATGCTGAAGGCTTCATAGAAAATTTCTGAGAATATTTATTAAGAATATTTATTTTAGGGGCATCTGGGTGGCTCAGTCAGTTAAGCATCTGACTTCAGCTCAGGTCATGATCTTGCAGTCCGTGAGTTCAAGCCCTGCATCGGGCTCTGTAATGGCAGCTCAGAGCCTGGAGCCTGCTTCGGATTCTGTGTCTCCCTCTCTTTCTGTCCCTCCCGTGCTCCCACTCTCTCTTCATCTCTGTCTCTTTCTCTCAAAAATAAAAATAAAAATAAACATTAAAAATATTTATTTTACTTGAAAGGATTTCAAAGAAAATATTTTGAAGACATTCTTACAGGTGCCTGAAAATTCTTCAGAATTCAGTTTCCAAAGTGATATAGGATAAAGGAGAATGCGAGGGAGCATAGGTCCCCCTCTGCTTCCAGGAACCTGGAAGTTTAGGTTGTAAATTGGAGTATGGATCTGTGGAGACATGTGATAATTTATCTCATATTTCTGGAGCAAACATCAATTTAATAAAAAAGATTTTGGGGTAAATGTTTGAATTTTGGCACTCTTAAGAAATTTTTGTCACCAAACTGTATGAGGAACATCAGCCAGATCCCACTTTATTATATGACCTAGTTGTGTAAGGCAGTGTTGTTAGGGACCCGGTTGTGTTAGTGCTGCATCCAGATACAAGTGAACAGGCCTTTACAGTCGCCAAAAGAGATTATGCGTATATCACAGACCTGCAATGGTTCGTTCTAGTCTGCCAGATCTGATGATTGAATTGTGATTCCTAGGTGAGTCCAAAGATAGACCCACCTTTTCAGCTTTGTGGTAGTGGTGGTGGTGATGCTTTGACTATAGAAAACACTTTTGATGCTGGCAAATAAGTTCAACCTACTTTTGTTACTCCACGTAATAAGCATGATTGTTTGTATAAGAATGTGATGATTATTCTCCTTCCTATTACAATCAATTCTGATATTAGAAAACTGCTAAAATCTGGCATCTTGTTATACTTTGAAATTATATATGTATGTGTGTGTGTGTGTATATATATATATATATATATATTTCAATTTTTAGTGTTTAGTTTTGAGAGAGAGACAGAGACAGAGCGTGAGTTGGGGAGGAGCAGAGAGAGAGGGAGACACAGAATTCGAAACAGGCTCCAGGCTCTCAGCACAGAGCCCGACGCTGGGCTTGAACTCACAACAGTGAGATCATGACCTGAGCCAAAATCAGCTGCTTAACCAGCTGAACCACCCGGGTGCCTTGAAATTATA